AAGTGTAGTGACCTTACCCAACAATTCCCACTAACTCATGATAATAATAGTAAATAATTGGGCACCAATTTACCAATTTAATCAACTTAATCTGGTCCGAATCAATTTTTCAATTAAATTTCACCGTAGGCTCTAAAAATTATGCCAATCATAATGGCGTAATCAATTTCGGGTTCTGTGGCCGATAAGGCCCTCAATTTAATTTCCAAAGCAGGTTATTCAAATAGATATTCCTACGATGATCAGATAAAACTTCAAAATTATATATATATATATATATATTTGCATAATGGCACACAAAATCATATCAAAACATATAATCACATTGGTATTTGGGACCAATTAGCATAATACAGAACAGGGGTGTCACACTTTTACCACAATCAGAATAGACCGTAATAAACCCACTACTCTGACTCGAGCTGTTCAAAGTCCCTGTGGTTTGCTTCTTACCGACAAAGGACCGGTCGCTTTTAAAACCAAACCCGAATCTTTTTCCTCTCCACTCAGTTGTTGTAGTTACTGGGGCTTTACCTTGTTTCATAGCGGCTAGGGTGGCCTCTGCCATAAGGATCTGTCTAACACTTCCACATAAGTAGGCAATTTCAGTACGCCTACTCGATCAAATATCTCTAAATCCAATCCACCTTCAAACTTTCGTGCTTTCTTGTAATCCGTATCCACCATATGTGGAGCAAGCCGTGCCAGTTCGGTGAATTTAGCTTCATATTCTGCCACAGACATCCTTCCCTGTTTGAGTTCCTGAAATTCAGACACTTTTCGATCCCTAAAACATTGGAAAAAATACTTGTCATAGAAGATAGTATTAAACTGTGCATATGTCATATTTCCATTGCTACTTTGGATCAGTAACCACCACCTGCGGGCTTCATCTTTCAGAGTGTAGGTGGCTAGGAGGACTTTCTGAGTTTCAGAGCAAGGGAATACTTCATACAATTTTTTTATCTCAAGCAACCACGTCTCAGCTTTCAGAGGTTCAATTCCACCATAGAATGTTGGCGGTTTCATTTTCATAAATTTCTGTGTCAAATTGATGATGCCAGTATTATCTGCCTTGACCTGTGTCGGTGGAGGCGGAGGGGGCAAAGGTTGTTGTCTCTGTTGTTGTGTCCAGGCTTCAGGCAGTGCTGCTAACATCTGTTCCATTCGGCCCACGCGAGCCTCTGAAGATTCACTTTCACCACTTCCCCTTGCACTCTCCATCTTACTATACAGACATCAAATGATAATAAACACATGCATAATCTTATTCGTTTCCTTCAATTCATTTGATTCAAATGTACATTCAGTTTTCATATTCAGTTGCATTACCACACACTCACACATGCAGATAGAATGCCCCTAACTCTTACTAGGACATCCTAAGCTCATACGGACCTGTGTGTGCGGTAGAACACGTGCTTTGATACCACTTTGTCACGACCCAAACCCGCCCCTGTAGGTTTAGCACTGTAATCGGCCAGGAATCCGTGGATTACCAAAGGCCTCTGAACAGATTAGCAAATAATAAGGGGCTGTGGAAGCAATAATACAAAATAGACAAGGTCCAATGAGCTGTGATAATGTACATGGGACAAAACATTTCAAAACTTATTTATATATACATAAATATGCCAGTCCAGATACACAATATTTACAAGGTATTTACAGAATGTACATCCCAAGACCTGACTTTACAAGACTAGCATGAACACAAAAGAAACAACCATGGCGTTAGGCTTCGTTCGGAACCTCCTCGAGAGGCACAACAGTTGGCTGACAAAAACAAAACAGAAGGCCGTCAACTTTAGCCCTGGTTATGTGCTGGCTCACGTACATACATAATATTAACTGTGAGCGAAAGCCCAGTGAATAATAAGAAAGTAAAGGGTTTCAATGAATGAGTTCGTACAGATTCAAAAATCATAATTCAGTTCATATCAAAATCATAGTTTATCCAGAGCATATACAGACAGAAATCATAAGCCATGATTAAGTTTACGTGATACATCCATTAGCATTAACAGAACAGAACAGAACAGAACAAACGTACACATGTGAGGTTACGAATAACCAGTTCTATAAAGGAACCTTCGGATCCGGGTAACAGAACAGAACAGAAGCTGAGCCCCCATGACAGGGCCTCCGGTATGGGTAACAGAGTTCAGACAGAAATAAGTTCCATAAAGGAACCTCTGATACCGGATAACAGCTAACAGATATAACATGATGCTAAGGATGTCACAAATACATATCAGAAATTGAACAATCATTCATTGTACAGAACATATTATTTCGGAAAACAGATTTTGTTTTATCACACAGAAAGTAAATACAGTTTGAACATAACTTTACTAAATTATTACTCATAGTTGGCCTTGAAACAGACAGACGGAGCAGATTGATCACACGATACGCGGCACGTGACCTACATAACACATAACGGACACACACTTGAAACACACATTCTAATTGCATAAAACTTACGCTGATGGTTCTTAGTGTGTTTCTAACCTTAAATCCTCACTATAGAGTCTTAAATATGGCCTAAGAATGTCTAGGATGGAATGAGGATGCAAAGATGCCTTGGAAAGCATTTTTCAAAACTTGCTGAAAACAGGGGTCTCGCTCGAGCGTAGCTTCCTTCGCTTGAGCGAGCTTGTCAAAACAGAGGGGTCGCTCTTGCGTAGACTCCTTCGCTCGAGCGGTCTATAAAAATACAAAAGTACTGTTTGTTGAAATTTTACGCTCGATGCCCGCTCGAGTGTCTGACGGTCTCCGACGATGGTTGAAAGCCTTAAGTGAGGTTAGAGAGAGAGAGAGAGAGGGGTTGATTTGATGAGGTAGATTAGAAGCCTCATCTCCAGCTAATGGAATTGTTCTAGTGCAAATCTACCTTGCAACGACATAAACTACTCTAGATCTAAGCCTTTTTCTGTACAATTTCAACTCTTAGTAGTCTCTCTTTCATAGCGTATGTATTCGATCCTCATCCCTAATCATTTTCCTCTTTGTTTGGTTTCAATGTTCTTATGCACATTGATCACTGGTTTTTGTTATTTTATTTTGTATGTGTAGGGGAGCAAGAGTAAGAATGTATGAAGCATTAATTTGCTAAGCTCTTCACCTTTCAATCTCAATCTGACTCTGGTGTCATCCAGCAAACTGACAATCTTATCGCACACCTTTTCAAACACACCACAACCAACTTAGATCTACACTCTAGATCTGTAGATATGCTTCTTCCTTTTCTTTTTTTCTTTTTTTAAAAATATTTTAGTGTGACAAACTCTAAACTCTCAGCCATAGCTAAGATGGTGGTTGTTGTTGATTATTTGTTGTTGGATTTGACTCCAAATGCCCTTTTATTTTTTAGTAGTTGATTATTTTATTGTTGTTGTTGTTGTTGTTGAATTATTGTTTGATGAGACCCTAACTTTCTTTGCCGCCACCTTCAAGCCGCAAGCTAGCGTCATTTCTATCTCCCTCTCTCTTTCTCTCTCTCTTTTCTTCTCTTGTTTTGTGTTCAATAGATAAGTTAAAAATAAGAAAAATAGGTTTGCACAAATAAAACAATTTATCTGCATCATGTATATATATAAATTTATCTTCTTTTTATTTGTTTTGAATAGATAAAGGGATTAAATAGATAAATAGGTAGAGAAAGAAACAGATAAAGACGGAAAAGAGAAATAGAGAAAGGAATAGATAAGGAGAGAAAGTTTGAAAATAGTGTGAATTTGAGCATATAGAAAAAATAGGTTATAAAGTTCAACAGATAAGTTAAAAAATTCAACGGATAGAAAAATATTTGAACAAATAAAAAATAACTTGAACATATAGTAAAAAAAAGTTAACAGATAAATAAAGGTATAAAATTGAAAATAAAATGTCGTTCAAAACAAATAAAAATATTTCTCACCAAACTATTTTACAGAAGAGTGGACCTCTTACCAACAAAAAAATATCCACTAAACCTAAAATCTTATACCCTCCTTCGATTGGACTATTTAACAATTATCTCAAAAAGAAAAGGGTAGGTTAGTCTGTGCCAAAATGCATCTATAATTTTTACAGGTTTCTATGATAGTGGTGATATTTAGTATCATTTAGTTGTTTGGTAATAGCTTTTTGATTAAAAAAAGCACCAAAAAAAAAAAAAACTAAATAAGTTAATAAGATAAAATATCACATCTAAACTATAATCATTTCACTTTTTCTGTTACAAAAATTAAAAAAACAAAAAAAAATCAAATCAAACAAACTTTTAGTCCCAAGTTAAAATAGTCAAAAAAATTTAAAAATTAACTAAAAAAGTCAATTGCCAAACGGCAATTTAATGGATTATTGAAAAAACCCTTCAACAAAAGGCATAATTAATATGAAAAATTCTAAACATACAAAAAATTTAACAATAATGATGTGACAATATCATTATTATAAATAAATCAATCTTTAATGATGTTTTATTTTAAAATAAAAGGTCCACAATGAATCATATCATTATGTATCAATTTTTTATTTTTATAACATTGCTAATATTTGACTAAGAAAATCAGGGTCCAGTAACTGTTTATCTGGACATAATATTTCTTATGTGATGGAGTATTGAATTTCAAGAGAATGTGATAAAAATGAAAGACTAAAAGAGAGATTTACTGTTAATTGCAAAGTCGGTAGGATTACCAATCTCTCATCCTAATGTTGAGTCAATCCAAATATAAAATATAATATACATATATTTTACAAGAATTAATAATACTAAGGTCAAGTTTAGCATACACAAAATAATTCATTTTTTTATCTTTTTATATTTTTTTCATCATATCACCTCTCTACTTTTTTACACATCTTTTTATACAAAATAAAAAATATACTTATTTAGATCATTCCAAACATCTTAAAAATACTAATCAATCTAATCTAATTGAGACGGCACAATCAAACTTGGCCTAATTGTCATTGAACACGTGTGATTTATATAATTTGATGTTATACTGTATACTCATAAGTGGAACCTCTCTCTCTCTCTCTCTCTCTCTGAGAATCTCTCCATGTTTGGGGGAAAGATTCTCTTGGCAGGGTACACAACCCTTGTTGTTCTTGTCCTGTTTTCTGTAAATTGCTATGCTTGGAAAAATCCCTACCTCTGTGACCCTTCTTCGTGTGGAAATATTGATAACATCAACCCTCCCTTTAGATTGAAAGGCGATCCAAAAAACTGCAGAGACGAGAAGTATGAATTGGAGTGCGAGAATAATCGCACAGTATTACACTTATTCTCCGGAAAATACTACGTGGAGGAGATCGACTACCACAACTATAAAATCAGAGTTGTGGATGTGGGCATACACAAGGACGATTGCTCTCTTCCTCTTTACTCTTTGACACAATACAACTTTAATAAGTACTACTATGATTCTCCATATCATTTGAGGTACGCGTATGCAAGTAGTCCAGTAGTGTTCATGAATTGCGAGAACCCAGTGAAGTCTTCCCTCTACATAAACAATACTTGTAGCAAAGGACGAGGAAATTCTTCCGGGTCTGTAAAAGGGCAATATTTGTACGTTGTGGTGGGTGCGTTGAAGGTGTCAGATGTGGCGGATTTGTGTACGGTGGAGATGATGGTTCCGATTGCACAGCCGCCGTTGTTGATGAGTGGTGAAAATGGTGGGAACATTTCCATTTCCTTCTCGGACGTCCACAATGCCATGGCTAATGGATTTGAGCTTTACTACGATTTCTGTCCACCGAATTGGACGTCCTTCCAATGTACGTAAGATTTTTTTTCCCTTAATACTGCAAATCCTGAATTCTAATTCAATTTCTTCATTCGCTAATAATATGAACAAATAAAAATATTCCTTTTTTTTTTTTCTTTTTTTCATTGTAAAATAGGCAAATATTTCTCTAAATAGCTTCAGGACCATCATCTTTCATATAACGCAAAATCTAACAAACCAGGATCAATTTCTTCATTAGCCTCAAGTGAAAACTTAATATTTGAAAGTTATGTTTGGTTCCAATCACTTTAGTTTCTTAGAGTTTCTTATCTCCTTTTTGTCAAGTGTCTATTTTTCCAATTAAAAAAAAAAAATAGATAAAAGGAAGAAGTGAGACATGAACCCTTAGACCTAATGTGTGATGAAAAAAATTCTTACCAATTGACTAATACGCAACATATAATAAGAAATTTATTTTTATTTTATTTATTTGAATTGCACAAGTATTACATGTGCTAACTGTTAGTATAATAGATGGGCAATTCTATTTCCACACACTAAACCCTTTCATTGCACATCTCTTTACAAGGCACACACTTAATGATTTTCAAATATCAAATTTTGCTTAGTAGACATCCTTCCTTGTAAAAAATACCTCTAACTCCTTCAAACCTAACCTAACCTAACCCTAGCTACCACTCGCCACCACCATGAACCACGGTGAACTCTGGCCACCATCGCGAGCGTCCTATCTCACCTCCACTGCTACTACCATCTCCTGTGGCTCTTCTCAACCCTCCCCCACGACCCTCTTCGCACCTCCGCTCCTACTCAATCCTCTTCGATACCCTCCCTGCGACACTTGTCGCTCGTAACTCCTTCACCTGCAACGCACCAATCCTACCCACACTCTAGCGACCACTATATAGAGAGATTCACAAAGAGAGAGATCACATGACTAAGGTTTTGAATTAAAGAGTGATAGCCAGGGACTAGGGTTTCGTAGAGAGAGAAGTTGCGACTATATATTTGACAGAATGAAGAGTGGTGGTTGCCAGGGTACCAGAGAAAGGCTGCAGATTGAGTTTGAAATGGTAGGAAACTCATGGCAATGGGGATTTTATGAAGACAAAGTTGCAGCGATGGTGGTTCATGGTGGTGGCAGCTAGGGTCAGGTTTAGAAGGAAGTTAGGATTTTGGTAAAGAAGATAAGGACATTTTGGTAATTTTATTTTAGGATAAAATTGTAATAAAATAAAATATCATTAAATGTGTGAACAAAGAAAAAATAGGACGTGAAAATAGAAGCACCCATAATATGTGCATACTGTTGTATATGTTTGTGGTGAATAAATTGACAAAATCATCCTTCTTTGTTATTGCCTTTAAATCAAGATAGATGGATGGTTTGAATTGGACCAATTTAAAAGTTTTTAAGATTCAAACTGTAATTTGAATAAATGAAAACCATGGTGTCTTTTTTGTAACAATAATCAAAGCTTGGGGTTTGTTTTATAATTTGTCAATAATTTTCTAATTCCACCCTGTTTCATTATTATAATATGTGGGGCATGACGTTTAATTCATTAATTTTTAAAAATGTCCTAAAGTAATTGTTGAAATTACAGTTTAGCAAAATCTCTTGAAAAAATCATCTCTATTAGTTTGTCATTCTTCTTGTCAAATTGTATTATTGTCAAATGTTATGACACATTTAGCACAAGTTTTTGACAAATACTAAAAATTCGTAAAATTCTTTCTTTTTACATCTTTCATAATACACTTACAAAATAATATTTATATTTGTTATTTTATAAGAAAATATAATATACGATAATTCCACCATTAAAAAAAACTTTCCAAGATGAAACATATAGCTATGTAACATGTTAAAATTAATTTTAGCATTGAGGGTAAATTACACTAACCTCCCTTGATGTTTGATAAAAATAAAGTAAATCTCACAGTTTTAATATAATTACACTGATTTAAATAAGGTTAACTAAACCAAAACTAATGTAATAGTGTGAAAATATAAAAATAAATAACATAAAACATAAATTTTTATGTAAAATAGAAGACAATGTTATTTTTTTCATCTATATAACTAACAAATTATTAACGAAAATGAAATTCAGTGTTATATAAATTAAAATTTTTTTAAAAAAATCAATATAATTTTATTAAAATTATGAAATTTTTTATATTTTCCGTAAATCTGACGAGAGATCGGTTAATTTACCCTAACATTAATTATTAAAGATGTTTTAAGATACATATCACTGCCAAGAGTAATGCTTTTTGTTGGCTGACATAATTTCTTTTCCCTTTAAAATAATGCAGGCCTCATGCGGAAGATCGCTGTCTGTAAGTATTCTTCTGTCATCCATTCATATCAGAAACGTTAGGGTTTGGTTTACTTAAATGAATTGGAATGTGCTGATGATTTTATTAAAATCATTATTGATATGTTTTGAGTTGAATAAAATAGTAATGAGAAATATTACAAATAGAATCATATTATATCATTTTAAAGGAATTGTCATTTCATAAAAAACCTTGGGAAAATTAGTTATCATTGGACATAAAAAAAAAAAAGAGAATACACAAACATGGAGGGGTGCAACTTTTTATTTGCACCTCATCACAAAATCACTTGCACCCTCTATGTCTTTGTATTTTTTTTTCTTTGCTCCACTGTTAAGTAATTCCCCCAAATGATTCTATTTAGAATGCCGGAGGGAGTGGCTAAGGATTTTGAAAGAATCCAAGCAGCTTTTTTATGGGGTGGCTCAGATCTCAAAAGGAAGGTTCAGCTAGTCAAATGGGAGGAGGTTACCAAAAGTATTGCTAAAGGAGGGTTGGGCGTTAGGAAGGTTAGAGTTGCAAATGCCTGTTTGTTACTAAAGTGGTGGTGGAGGTTTGCTTGTGAGTCAAAAGCCTTGTGGAGAAAAGTAATCTGCAGTAAATACAACATTAAGGAGTGCTGCTGGTTGCCGAATTCTGGTGATAGCTGGAGGCAGTCAAAATTATGGCGAGATATTACCTCATTGGCCTCTCTCTACCCTTGTATGTTGGAGTGTTTTCTTAATAATTTCAACGTGCAGGTGGGAGATGGCTATAGAATAAGATTTTGGGAGGATATATGGTGTGATGGCCACTGTTTGAGAGTTGAATTTCCTAGACTGTTCAGCTTGTCAAAAGAAAAGAAATGAGCTCTTAGACTTTTTGTTGATCTAAAGGCATCCTTAGGGGAGTGGAACTTATTATTCAGAAGAGAGTTGTTTGAATGGGAAATAGTAGATTTGCTGAGACTGGTCTCTATTATCTCTCCTGGTCCCTTAATTAGGATGGACAGAGTTGATTACCCTAAGTGTTGAGTTACTGAGATTGGTTTCTGTTATCTCATCTGGTCCCTTAATTAGGACGGAGAGTGTTGATTATCCAAAGTGGACAGCCACATCATCAGGTCTCTTTGCAGTAGCTTCGTTGTATAGGCACTGTTCAGGTGGTGTTGGAAATTAACTGGGTGCTTCTAGAATGTTGTGGAATAAGGTTTTACCCCCTAAAGTCCAGTTTTTTGGCTAGCTCGCTTGGAAACATAAGGTTAAGACCTCTGTGTTCCTTCAGAAAATAGGGTTCCTCCCTAGAGGAACTTCTATCCTGTGTTGCTTTTGTAAGCATGATGAGGAGTCGGTGTTACATGAGCTCCTTCATTGCCATTTTGTGTGGAAGGTATGGTCGTCCTTGTTAGAATGGTGGGGTCTGTATTGGGCAATGCCTGACACAGTTGATTGTTTGTTACAGTGGTGGGAGGGTGGTAAGTTTAAGAAGAGAGAGAAGGTGATTTGGAGATGTGTCCCTCTTGTAACCCTTTGGTCTCTTTGGAAGCAAAGAAATGACTGTGTATTCAATAATGCAGTAGCTGATGTAGAGATTCTCTCTGATCTAATTAAGTATAGAGTGGCACCTTGGCTTAGAACAGCTTCTGGGGAGTGCCAGTATTCTATTCATGACTTTGTTTTCAATCTCCATTAGATTAGAAGGTGTGTTAGTAGGGATTAATCTATTCTGTTGGTTCCCTTGCTGTGATGTGTTGGGCTACTGTGTTGCGAAGGGTTCCTTTGCTAGTAACTGGGTTATTTTTCTGCAGATTGGCTATGTTCTGCTAGGTTGTTTCTGCTTTGAAAGTTGGTTGCTGGCAGCATGCAGGGTGGAGTTCTTGGTTGGCAGGGGTGTATTGTCTTTGGTTAATCCTATAGGATGACATGCGAAGGGTTCTTTTGCTAGTAGCTGGGTTGTTTTTCTGCAGATTGGCCATGTTCTGCTGGGTTGGTCTGTGAAGCTGGTTGCAAGAAGCTGCAATGAATTTGAGATGTATGGGTCTGGATGGCTGCTGGTTGCAGCCTGGTCTGAGACTGGGGAGTGGTGGATGGCTGCTGTGTTCTGCAGAAGGGGTATGGTGTTTGTATGACATCTCCTGGCTGCTCTAAGGTCTACTGTGGATCTGTGGTAGCACAATACATGGCTGTTGTGATCCTTATGCTCTAGTCTTGCATTAGCTTGTCTCTCTGGATTCCGGTTTTGTTGATCTGAGGCTGCAGAGTTTGGCTTCTCTAATATTCCATCTCAGTAGCTGCAAAGCATCAAAGGTTTTAGCTGTTCTGTTTTCTTCTGGCTGTCCTTCTCTTTGGGTGTCTTTGGTTGGTTCCTCACCAATCCTGGGTCGAGTGCTAGCATATGATTGCGCTTTCTATGCGGTGCCAACCTAGTTAGGATCGTTAATTTTAGCTATGATGCTCTCTGCACTCCTCTGCTTTGTTGATGTAATTTTGCATGTATTATGCCTCTTTCATCAATAAAGTTTTATTTTGTTGATAAAAAAAAAAGTAATTCCCCCAAAAAACTTAAGGAATCACCATTTCATACAATTCTCTCTAATCCCAATGAACCACATAGAGTATTAGTTTTTTTTTTAGGGTAAATTACAACAGTACCACTACACCACTGAATTTTCCTCTGCCCGAATTACCCAATGAATATCTTACATGTAGGATATTCATTTTTACCTAGTCGATTCATTCGAGCAATTTCTACAGAGGAAAATTCAGTAGATCAAACATTTTTGAAATTACAAACACTTCATAAGATTTGCTTAAAGTATAGAATATTCCTACAGTTTTGAAATTACAAATATCTCATTATCAAAAAAATTTATTTAGCATAAATAATAGAAAAAAATAAAATTTCTAACTACTCTTCTATACAACAATGAAATTACTAAAATCATTAATTAAAATATATTTTTTTATTAAAAACTACTAATTGATTTAATGATTTATTAATAAAAAGAATTACTCGTTAGGAATTAGAATTTGAAAGAGGGGAATGTAATTTTCAAATCCACATAAAATAATTCACATTTTAAGCAAATCTCAAAAAGTGTTAACCTATTTTTTTTCGCCTTAACCAACCTTTAAGACAGAGTTCTTTATACAAATACCAAAGCAAGCCTTAAGTCTTATCAAATAGGGTTGGCTACATGAATCTTTCTTCCCTACTCGACTCTATCAAAAGCCATTTGGTTAGCCAAACTAAAGAGATTCATATTTCTATTTACTATACTAGTCCGCGTTAATCTAGGTTTGTCCTTTCCCTAACACTTCCATCTACCGTCACTGTATCGCACATCTTCATTACTACCTCTGTTGGTCTCTGTTTATGACGGAACCATTTCAATCTATTCCCTCTCAGTTTATCTTCTATCGCTGTTACTCTTACTTATTCATGAATATACTCATTTCTAATTTTGTCTTTTCTAGTGTTGCCACACATCCACCTTAGCATCCTCATCTTAGCCACACTCATCTTATTTACATGTTGTTTCTTAGTTTCCCAACATTTTATCACATACAACATTGCTGGTCTAATAGCCGTTCTATAAAACTTTCCTTCTAATCTAATGGGTACTTGTTTATCGCACAGTACCCCCGATGCACTTCTCCACTTAAACCATTTGATGGACCACATCTGCTCCAATCTCTCCAGCTGTTTTGGTTATCGATCATAAATAACGAAAAAATTCACTTTTAGGTAGTTATTGGTTCTCAATCTTCACTTCTCCTCTGTTTCATTGTTACTATTACTAAAATTGCACTCTATGTACTCTGTCTTAGTTCTGCTTATCCTAAATCTTTTAGATTCAAGTGCGTCTCTCCAAGTCTCCAACTTAGTATTATCTCATTTTCTAGTCTCATCCACTAACATGATATCATCTGCAAAAAGCATATACCATGCCACATCATTCTGAATATTTTTCGTCAACTCATCCATAACTAAAGCAAAAAGATATGGACTTAAGGTTGATCCTTGGTGTAACTCCATAATAATTGAAAATTCATTTGCCTCTCCAACCGGTGATCGAATAGTAGTCACCACATCTTCATATATGTCCCTAATCACATCAATGTGGCCTTTTGTCACATCTTTCTTCTCTAACACCCACTAGATTATATCCCAAAGCATCCTATCATATGCTTTCCCAAGATCAATAAAAACCATATGAATATCTCTTTTCTTCTTTCTGTACTTCTCTATTACTCTTCTCAAAAGATAGATCACTTCCATTATTGACCTATCAGACATAAATCTAAATTGATTCTTTAACACCTCTGTTATATCTCATAATTGGCATTCCATTAATCTCCCACACTTTCATTATATGACACATTAGCTTAATTCCTATGTAGTTGTTGCAATTTTGGACATCTCCTTTATTCTTATAGATTGGCACTAAAATACTCGTCATCCACTCCTCTAGCATTTTTCTAGTCAACAAAATCTTGCTAAATAATCTAATTAGCCAAGCAACCCACTTCTTACCCAAACATTTCCAAGCTTCAATAAGGATATTATCGAGTCCAATAGCCTTATTTGATTTCATCTTCTTAAGTTCAATCTCCACTTCAAAGTTCCTAATCCTGTGATAGAACATATAGTCTTGATTTTCCTTATTACTGGTTACTTCCTCCCCTTTTGACCTTTCTCCATGTTCCTCATTTAATTTCTCAACATAGTTCTTCCACCTCTCTTTAATCTCTTCATCCTTTACCAACACCTTAGACTCCTCACTCTTGATGTATGTAACATGATTAAAATATCTTGTTTCCCTCTCTCTTATCTTAGCAAGTTTGCATATTCTCTTCTCTCCCTACTTGCTATCAAGTCTAGTGTATAGGTCATCATAGGCTTTTAATTTAGCCTCTCTCACTACTTTTCAGATCTCCTTATTAGCCAATCTGTCGCTCTTAAGATTTTCTTTAGTTCTATCATTCTGCCACTTTTTAAAGCACTTTTTTTTCGTCTTTACTATCGCTTAAACGTTATCGCTCCACCAGAAGGTGTCCTTAGAGTTGGGTCCCTTTCTTTTTGACTCTCCAAGGACTTCCCTTGAGATTCTCCTCATATAATTGGCCATCGAGTTCCACATAATGTTAGCATCATCTTCCAATTCTCAAGTACCTTCTTTATCCATTCTATTCTTAAATATTTATAATTTATCCCCTTTAGATCCCACCATCTTATCTTACAGCACCCACTATCCTTCATAGCTTGGTGGTTCCCTTTAAAGCATAAATCCAGCACCAAAATCCTATGTTGGAATAAGCTCCCCTCCATATTTCATCTATCCATAGCTCTCTAAATTCTTCTTGTTGGCTCTAATCCTGTTGGCTATTTTGACACTTCAAAGCATAAAAATTTAATTGTCGCGTGCCAACAATGATTTGAAAAGTCCTTATAGAATTTATAAGCCAATTTAATTTACTTGTTAGGCGATTGGGATTAGGTTCTTTTAGCCTCAATCAAGAGACTTTAGAGGTTGTATTTTAGTAAGAACCAATGCAATATAACTTGAATTCTAAATAGAATGGAAGGGAGAGACTGAACAGAAAATGTAATTGATTAATTGAATAATGCAATTACAAAATGCTACCTTTAGTATGGAAAACTTCGAATACAAGAGTTACTTTAATCTACTTCTATAAAAAGTAAGTGCAATGCTGAAATTTAAGATAAATGAAATGACAAAGACGTAGAGTTTGGATTTATTCGGGGGACCTTTTCATCTTTGCTTCCATCTATTTATAACCTTCTCTTGGCCAACGAAGTAGTTGAGCCACTTTTCTTTACCATAATCTCCTTTTTTGTAGCTATTTCATAGTGCCACTTCTTCTCTTTATGGGTGCAAAACCACTAATAACTGTCATCTGTCTTGATAACTTCTTTCCCTTATGCTCTTCACGTGTTGAATAACTACCTTTCAGCTGCCCAAACTCACATCTACTACTCACATGAGTTGCTTCGAAGGTGGGTTTTGTTAATGACTTGGGCATCTACATAATTACCCTTGCTTGCCAACTGTTACCTTTTAACATGATGATTTAATTATGGCGCTAACATTACCCTCCGCACTAATGTAAGCAATATGGATTACACTAGTGGTTCTAACTTCTGGTGCTTCGTTTTCTCTACGACCTCCACTTCCTCAAGTTTAGCTACCATTATCAATGTTCTCTCCCACCATGATCTTTTGGCTTGCACTTTTGAATTTATGTATTTAAGAGCAAATAATCGTAGAGACTTAGAATCATCAACCTTCGATTATCGATCTTTGCCTAAAACATTTATCTTCAGTGGCTTTGAACTATTGCTGGTCTTGGTCAAATGTCTGATAAGGTTAAGGATGATGTAGGATTTTCCAATGCTAATGCAACTATTCCTTTTAACTATCTAGCATCTCCAAAGTTGGGTTCGCGTCTCAAGGTTGTTCATTTTGGCTCTCATTCTCCTATCCTTCAACCATAACATTATACTATCCAAACACAAACTGCTCTTTTTTTTCCCTCTTACTTTTCAATCCTCTTCTTTGGGATGGGACGCCCTTACTTCTTCTTCCTCAACCAGCATTGCTACTGGTTGGGACACTTTGAGAGTCATGTTTAACACCTTTCATTCGTTCCAAGATTCATCATCATCTTTTGGAATGGGTTGATCCTTGCACTATCCCTTTTACTCGCCAAAGCAAGGTTGTGTATCCCTAGAAACCCCAGATTATTAGTGAATAAGAAGCAGAAGAGGACTTACCAAAGGATACTATTGAACGACTTGCCCTAATCAAACCTCTGCATGCAGTCTTTCTTGTCTCATCTCCTATTATTTCTCAAACCTCTACCCCAATAATTCCTTCACTTGTTGATACCTTGAGCCAAACTGAACCTTTTAATTCTTCTTCACTTGATTCCCTAGTTCGAAGAAAAGTGGAAAACATCCTTCTATCAGAGGCTGCTATGGTTGAGACTTCTCAATCAAAAATCTTACCAAGTTCCATACCTTCTAACAACACTCCTGCACCTCAAGCATAGGATCAAACAACAATGGAGGAGAGCATAAAACCTCAAACTAGCAACAGTGAAGCTATGGAAATGTCAGGGTCTGAGTTCATGGCATTTGAGCAAGAGCTTCAACAAATCATGACGGCTACACCTGTTCCTTTGTTATTGTCTGTTGAAACTAACCCTCTCATACTGGCAGACTCTTTCTTCAGCCATTTTATTCCTAATAATGCCCCATCCCCTCAACACTTGAGTATTAAGGTGGAACGCTTCTCAAGACTTCTCTTGCTAGCTTTAAAGAATCCAATCTTCAAACGAGGGTTTAATTTATGCTGTTAGTCCTTGTTTCACCATAAATTCCCTATGCATAATGTGCTGTTGAAGGCCATGATCTCCTTAGACTTTTATTCTCAGTTGCAAGAGTTGGCTTTGAATTCTCAACAACAACTTACACATTATCAAACTCTTGTCAGCACTACTCAAGCCAAAGTTATTTCTCTCATATCTGAATATGTAAATGCATCTACCCAGCAAAAGGCGCTTCTTATGAAGAAAAATGCCTTAGAGAAAGAGCTAGCAGAGGTCAATGTAGCATTTGCCACATCCTATGAGACAATATAGGCCTCTAGCACCAATCTAGGGCTCCTTGGAACTGATATGTATAAGGCACTTGAGCTACTTCCTTCTTTTGATAGTAGGAATATGATTGTACAAGAACAACTCAAGCAATGCACTTCCTTTTGAACCCAACTATGGCCTCTGTAAAATCTTCATCTAGTTAATGAAAATTTTACTTTTAGCAATTTTAGTCTTTGTTATGCTTGCTTTGTGCTTATCCTTTGTTAAGATTTGATTCTTTATCACATGAGGTTTCCCAAACAGTTGGAAAATATAATTTCAAAAATTCGCCATTGATTTTTCTCTAATGTATAAAACCATTAAGATTCCTTAAATAATAAGTCTCATTTGGAAGTACTTTATGAATCTAAAATGGTCTTTTCTAATTAGGTGATCATTTACCAAATTTGTGATTTTTAAGGCCAAGAGGTAATATAAGTTTCCATACTAGGTCTCCCTCATCGAAGCTTTAATTATATACCCTCTCGTGATAGCATCTTATATCTTTTTACTTTTGGATTAGGATTTTGTTCAAAGCCAAAATTTTGGCTTCATCAAGATCTTCTAATTTCATGCACATGTTTTGACAATAAAGATCCTTGTCAAAACAATCTTGTGCTTTAACTATTAAAATGTTAACATTAATCTCCATTGGGAGCACAACATCATGTCTATATACAAAGGCTGATGGATTAACCCTAGTGCTAGACCTTTTAGATGTTCTGTATGCCCACAAGGCTTCTAAGAGTATATTATGACACTCTCTGGGATTGTCTTCTACTATCTTCTGAATTCCATTTTTGATTGTCTTGTTTGATGGCTTAGCTTGTCCATTAGACTGAGTGTAATAAGGGGTTGCTTTAAATATGCTTATACCAAGTTCTCCAGCAAAAGCCTTCACTAAACCACACTCGAATATTGTTCCATTATCAATAGTAATAGTTTGGGGAATGCCAAACTTATACATTAGATCTTTAATGAAGCTGATTAGCTCAGTTTGATCTATGGATTTATATGGCTTTGCTTTGACCCACTTAATAAAATAATCTGTGGCCACTAGCATGACGCAATGATGCTTCAAAAATGGAGAATGAATCTTTCCAATCATATCCATTGCCCAATCTCTAAAAGGCCAAGGCTTGATCACTGAATGCATTTTATCTACTAGCACATGTCTTATTATCCTATGTTTTTGGCATGCTTCACAACCTTTTGCATACTCAATACAATCTTTGAGTATACTTGGGTAATAGTACAAATGTCTTCTTAGTAACCATCTCATTTTGACTCCTGACTGGTGAACTCCACAAATACCCTCATGAACCTCAACCATTACAATTCTAGCCTCCTTAAGCCCCAAACATTCTAGTAATAGTCCATCTGCTCTTCTTTTGTAAAGGTTGTTATCATATAAGATGAAATTTACTAACCTTCGTTTGACAGCTCAACTTGCCTCTGCATCTAGACTTGTCAAATACTGGATAACTGGATGTCTCCAATCATTTTCTAGTACATCAATTGAATAAGCTTCTACTACTATCCCTCTATCTTCTAAGGACAAGTGCCTGTATCCAGTTCAAGTTCATCTCGCTTCCTGTAATTCGATGTTATTTGAGCCACTTCATTAGCTTGTTCGTTCATAAATCTAGGCATGTGTGATATCATCATGTCCTTGAAATGAAAACTTAAGTATAAAACTGCTACATAATAAGGTAATAGACCATGGTTTTAGCATTTAAAAATACCATTTAACTGATTTACAATCAACTAGGAATCCCCAAATATCTCCAATGTTTCAGCTTTTAAGCCTACTAAAAGTTCTAACTTCGTAACCAAAGCTTCATACTCAATTTGGTAATTAGAACAATTTGGCTTATCTATTCTAAAACCATGCTTTGTTTGTACTCCTGTTGGAGATTCAATTAAAATTCCAACCCCAACCAGGCCATTGGCTTTGGAACCATCAAACCACAATTTCCAAGGCACAATGTTAGCCATATTTGAATCATTTGAGCTTTTCTTTTCTTCTTGGCATGGAGGGTCAGTAAGAAAATTTGTCAAAGTTTACCCTTTTACTGATGTATGGGGAACATAGTTGAGGCAAAATTCTCATAAAGCTCAGACTCATTTACCAATATTACCACTTAAGAGAGGTCTGCTTAACATGTATTTAATCAAATCAGTAGATGTTATAACATGCACAACTTTTGTTAAAAGATAGTATCTCAACTTTATTGTAGCAAAATACAAGATTAAACATAATTTCTCAATGGCTGAGTATTTATATTCATAAGAATTCAAAAACTTACTAAGGTAATAAATTGCTTGCTCCTTGCCATCTTCATTATCTTGAGCCAATAAGAATCCAATCGATTTTTCTTCTGCTGTAATGTACAACTTCAACAGCTTGCCTTCCATTAGAGGCATCCATACATGAGGCTTAGCCAAATAACTCTTAATGGCTTCGAATACTGCCCGGTGCTCTGTATTTCACCTAAAACTTTCATAATCTTTGAGCTTCAACAAAGAAGAAAAAACTTTAGTTTTCCCAGCAATATTAGAAATAAATCTTCTAAGAAAATTAACCTGTCCAAGGAATTATTGCAATTTTTTCTTACTTGGTGGTTTTGCTTCAATTATAGCCTTGGCTTTATCCATGTCAATTTGAATTCCTCTTCTATGGACCATATATCCTAGAAAATTACCAGCCGACACTCCAAAAACATGTTTTAGAGGGTTAAGCTTATGTTGGTAATGCGTCATTCTTTTGAATGATACTTCCAAATGAGTTAAATGATCTTCGAATGACTAGGAATGATGTCAATATAACACTCCATAAACCACCCTACTAGATCATGAAATATTGTATTCATGGCCCTTTGATAAGTTGCACTAGCATTCTTCAACCCAAAAGGTATTTTTACCCATTCTAAGGTTCCAAATTCCCTGGACACCTAAAAGCTATTTTGTGGACATCTTCTTTAGCTATGTAGATCTGATTATACCTAGAATGGTTATCCATCATAGAAAAAATAGTATGGCCAGTTGATTTATCCACAAGTAAATCCACCACTGGCTTTAGATACTCATCCTTAGGAGTTGCCAAATTCAGGCTTTGAAAGTCAATGCAAACCCTCATCTTTTCATTCTTTTTTACCACTAGAACAATATTAGGCAACCATTCCACATACTTGGTTGTCCTGATGAATCCAGCTTTCAGTAATTTGGAAATTTTCTCTTTGACTTTAAGACTCACTTATGGGCTCATTCTTTGAGGTTTCTACCTATCTAGTTTAAAGTTAAGCTTAAGAGGAAGCCTATGTTCCACTAACTGTTGTAAATAATATATATAATAAGTATCAACAACTGCCTATCTAGACCGGGTAACTTACTATAATCCTAAGCAAAGCAATCTTTATATTCCCTTAATAAAGCCATTAATTTGGCTTTAGAGATTGGGTCCAACCAAGCACTAATGAAAGTTGGATTCGAAGCGAATTCCACGCCCAAGTTTACTTTGTATAAGGGGTCCAGAGTCTTGATTTCCAAGTTTTCCATTATTTCAAGCTTCTTTAATGCTTCTGGCATCTTAACTTCTGATTACATTTCTTTATCCTCGTGGACAAAATTTGCCCAAAAAATCTCATTTTCTTGGATTCTGGCTTCAATATCTAAAGCTAATACATTATTCGAGGTTAATGTTAAGGCCTTTTGCATTGTTTTTGATTCAGAGCTAGCCGTTAGACTCATCTTTGTTGCATGCTGGCTTATTCAAACCATCCCAAATCCTCTGTTTGAGATAAACCACTTCTTTATCAGGCCCATTATCTATTGTCCATTCCCGAGTCTTCATCACACTTGGGGGCATCACTCAATTATCGTACAACTTTGCCTCTACAAAGTCTGCATGAGCAGTGAATGGCTGAGGGTCTAGCTAGACTTTTTCTGTTTCCCCATCACCCAAAGTAATAATGATCTTTTGGTGCAAGGATGATGGTACACACTTATTGGTGTGAATCCAATCTCTTTCTAGTAAAGCATTGTATTTTGCCTTGCTATCAACCACGAAAAGGGTTGCCATACAGTGTCTAGATCGCACACTAAGGTTAACTGGTAGGATACCTTGGGCCATATGTTTGTCCCTTGTGAAACCTATTATAGATGTACTGGTTAGAATTAATTTTGGAGTCTTCAAAACAATTTCTTCAAGGAGGCTTTGGGCAACAAATTAACTACTGCTCCATTATCTACTAGCACCTCGATCACCAACACACAATCAAAATGTGCCTTAATGAACAAAGGTTTGATGTGTTTATTCATGCTTAGAGTGGGGTACTCAAAAGGGTATCATGGTGCATCTCTCTTAAGTCATTAGAATCTATCTCTTCCAGCATTTCAGTCTATGTGGTAGAAGAATCACCATCTGTGTCCACCCATTCCTCGATGGATGGGCTTCTTCGTTGTTTTAGATCAACCTCGAACCTATGAGGTAAGACATAAACCATGTTTATGTTCATAACAGGTAATGAGCCATATTGGATCAAGACTGGCTCATTCTGAGATTGCGACCTCTTTGAAGGTTCTGAACTGCTTTCAGAATTTTTGCCCCACTCCATTTCCATGGGAGTAGCCAACTTAATTTTCACTGGCTTGGTCTATTCTGCCATCATAGTTTTGAACAGATCATCTTCCATTACAACTAAACCATCTACCTGGCATACTGAATCTTCAAACTTAGAATCACTTTTACAAGACTGGCATTTTCTTTGGCTGTTAAATTTATCATGAACTCTAGCCAATTGTTCTCTTTTTTCTTAAGCACGATAATATTTTACATGCTCCTTATCAATTCTCCTTTCTCTATTAACGCTTCTTCTGGGTATTACCTTGATAGAGTCATGGAGTTCTTTTTAGCACCTGGTATGAATTTTCCACTAAGATCTGGAGAGGAAAGGCACCAAATTTGGTTGCTTGCTTTTTGGGTTCTTCAGTATCACCCATTGGTCAGGTATAATAGAAGATTGCCATACCATTTTTGGTTTTTGATCTTCCTTAGCTACCACTGGAATGACCTAGGGTCTGGTCTGCATGACAAACCAATCAGACAACCCTTGAACCCAAGAGTATACTTGCTTGTGAGTAGGGCTAGAAGTGCTAGCCTTCGAGGGTCCAACTCCTGGAGTTCTCTTAAACCTCCTTTCCTCATGAGACAGGAAAAGTAAGTCTACTCTTGAATCTCTGTGACTCCTACTCCTGAATGAGCCTTTAGTGCCCCTACCTTTGGTCTAAGATGTCTTTTTATAAAAGGACACTGGATCATATAGAGCATAGTTTTGTTCTTACATGCCACTAAACGTTCGAACCACATGACTTGAATTATTACTCTTATTCTCAACCTTCTTAGGGACTCCAGCCATCCATTGTAGCTGACTCTATATTTGGGGAAAATTCTTTATACAGTTGATGTCTCTAAAGAACATGTAGCTACTGAGCAATCAAATTGTTTCTGGCCATATGAAATGCCAACATCTTTTGATTTATGAGATGGCTTATGTTCCTTCGAAGCTATCTCCTACTTTATTTCATTCATCTGGACATCCAAGACATCCAATTCTCCTAGATGCATACCTCTCTCCAATGCCTGGATGATAGAATTTAGAACCCCAACATTGACTTACATTTCATGCACCTTTGGAAAGGGATCTTTGTCAATTCCCATTGCCTTCTTAGCCTTACCCTTCTAGATTTGCTTCTAAATCCTGTCTTGAAAAACAATACAATTTTTAGTTAAATGAGACCAAGTATTATCTCATTTACAATATATTATAACCTTCAATTCATTTGAATGGGGTATAACCATTCCTTTAGGTAGTTTTAAAAATTGTACTGCCAGCAAATGATCAAATATTTCATCAACTTTAGATATATAAAAAAAAAAAATATTTTCTATGAAAAATTTTCTTTTTAAACTGATGATCAAATGTATTTTCCTTCTTAATTAAGGTGTCACATGTATATGGTTATTTGCCTACAATCTTTGCAACATTAATTTCCAAATTAGGATCTTCATAATAAGTCCAATATGAAAAGTTATTCAAATCTTTTTCTTCCTCT